AACGTAAAATTTTAATCATATAGAAAACGAGATTTCGATGCTTCGGAATAAATTCCACGAAATGGAGTTAAGATAAAATGGCAGTTTAAATGTTTTTTTTTTCTTTTTTGCACGACCTTAAACTTCATTATGCATTAAACACCAATTAATTAATTAGCTATCGCTCTTATCGATATCATTTTAAATGCTTTTGTTACGTCTTATGGTAGAGTTGATTTTATTTTTTTTATTTTCTAAATGTTCAGCATAAGAAATAAAAAGAAAACAAAAAATGTCTTTAAAAAAAGTTGAACAAAAAATAACGATAATAAGAGGACTAGTTGTAATTATTTAGACCAGCTTAGTTAGTGGCAATTTATATTTAAAATATTAAAAAATGGCAATAATAAACAAACTACTTCAATAAATAACACAAATCATATTATTAGGTTGCATTCTGATAGCATAACATACAATTTAATATTTTCTATTCATATAACACGACATTTAAATTAATATATTCCTTTCAAATGTTGAATTTTCCCAATTCATCTGGAATTTTCACAATTCTCCCAAAATTAATTCTGGATTAACTTCCTGATTTCAATTGAAAATTTTTTTATTTCTTCCACAACGCATAAAACTGCATGATCTTTTGAAAATTTTCTCAACTTTTTTGCGGAATTTCTAAGAGGAAGAGGAGGGAAAGGGAGAGAGAGAAAGAAAGAGGAAGGAAAATTCTTGTTTAAGTGTAAACAAGTACTTTGGTGATATTAGTTATGAATGAAATATGATTGAACAACAGTAACATATGAATTAATTAAGCTATTAAGTTCATGAGACATGAAACTTCTTGCATAACATATAAACTTTATTTTTTAAAAAAGTTAATTCAAAATTTTGGCTGTATCAAATAACTTGATACATTACTATTGTAAGAAATTTTTTTTTTTTTTTGAAAAAGGATATTTTCTCTGATGTTAGAGAAGACATTGATACCATGATTTATACAGAAAGCTAAAGGTCATATTTATCAAATAGGGCACATAAAAGTCAAATTGATGATAGCGCGTAATCTTTGTAGGAAATATGCTGAAGAAACAAGCAAAAATATTGACATTTTTTATTATTAAAATGATTTAACAAAATAATTATCACTTTTAAATAGCCCATTTCGAGAATTAAAATTTTGAAATTCAGCATTTTTTTTCTAAAAATTTCTGCAAAATATTAAGGCAAGAATTCGCTATAATTGAGCAAGAAAAAATTGCATAAATAGTGTAAAAGGAAAAAAAAACAGCACTCATACTCGAATACCATGTCGGTCCTCAGAGTACATGTGTGGATGTGCAAATCGAACTTGACTATCCGCATACATATCCATATTTTTAGCATTTGTATTGTAAGTAGCTTGTTCGGTTGGTGGCCTATGACGTTTAAAGAAACCACACTGAAAAAAAATTTCAATTGAAATTTAAATTCTGATATTCGAATTTGACAAAAGAATAAAATTTTTTGATGCTTTTTGAGTAAATCAATTTTAAGCATTGATATTTTATATTTTAGTGATGCATTCAAAAAAAGATTATCAGTTTATATGCGTTGATTTATTCATTTTCTGAAGCATTTTCGCATATTAAATATCAACTTTAGCTAAATAATAAAACATTAGCAAAATGCATCAAATTGTCCAAAAAAAAGAGATTCTAAAAAGCATAAAATTAATAGTTCATAATAGCTTTTTGTAAAAAAATAAGTACCAAATAAATGAATTGATCCTACTACCATGTAAATTGTTTTATTATTCTATTCTTTTAAAAATTTTAATGCTAAAAAAGAGTAAAATAATATACTTACCCTCCAAAGACATAAAATAAGAAGTGCTAATATAACCAATCCAATAAGGATAGCAATTAGGTATAGCCACCATGGTACACCATATTGTGCTTGTTCGGGATCCGTTGGATTTACATCTGTTGTTACCTGAAAAATGATTTTTCTTTTTTTTTTTTTTAAAAAAACTTGCTAATAATTTGATGTATGCAAAATCATTTTTAATTTAATTCCACTTTTTTTTGCAATCTAATATATGCTGCTAAAAAAATGAAAAAAAATGATAGCATTGTATTCTTTTGTTAAAAGTTGTATTTAAAATTATTCGACTTATGTTATGTTTTTTTTTTTCATTACGATTAATATATTAGCAAAGAAAAAGCGTCAGCTGTTCTTCTCCTTTAGAATAAATAAAATACCGCGACAAGTTGTGCTGGTGGATTATAGCGTGGTACACTTGGTAATGCTGATATTTTAGCTATACCAATAGAGGAAATATCTGCTTCATAAATATTATTATCGATTAGAGTATTTAGAGCTAAACGAGCATAAATTTCCACCAAAACAAATTCATCCTCATTAAGCCGTTGAATATCACATTCAATATGTGTACAATTATCTCTGTTGCAACCCTATTCAAAATAATTTCATTTATTGCATGCATGAAAAATACGAATTAAAACATTTCAAAACTTTCAACCTAATATAAATTTTCGTGAAAATTTACAAACTGTCAAAAATAAATTAAAAATATGGAAAAGATTTAATCTTTTTTTTTCACTTATATTATAAAGAATTCATTTCTTTTTATTTTTCAAATTTTGATCAATTTTCTATCACTTTTACTTTTGTATTAACTTCAGTTAACTCTTATTTTCTTTAACATTTAATTTCAATTTTTGACATCAAAAAAAAAAGAAAAAAAACTAACAATATTTGCCCTATTAAGAGGTCCTCTGTATTCGATAGCTTTTCCAGCTGCTTTAGCCATTTTCACAGCTTGTTTCATATTATCTTTTGCTTGAATAAATCGAATTCGACGTTGATCAGTGATCATTTGTTGTTGAGATCGTTTAATTTTTTGACTACGAATCATATGCTTAGCATGAATATGCATTCGACGTCGTCGTCGCAATTTGTAATCATCGTACATCTCTCGGATATGCTCTTCACGTTCATAATGCTGCTGTACAGGTATTTGATCATCGTAGATGATAGCAGATGGTGTTGGAATGTGTTCATTTGAGATCTAAAAATATGCGCTGAATTTTATGCAAAAAAAAAAAGACAAAAATTTCCTCGGCAGATGTCAATATGTTGATTGTGTTTTTGTAAAGGATAATATATTGTAAAACAGTTTCCATCAGATATGAAACTGTAGATCTGTATATGCAGCAGTTAAGTAGTATTGAGTAGGAATATAAAATTTAATCAAAAGTTAATCACATACTTTTGAAAGAGTAACTAAACTTCTACTCAATCTTATTGCTTACATAAGCTAACATCAGTAAGGGAGAAAATTTTAATGAATTATCCAAGTGAACTTAAAAAATGTAAATTCTAAAAAAAAAACTTCATAGAAATGTTCTCAAAATTATCTGAGCGCTTCAATATTAAATTCAAAAATTTTCTTTTTTAGAATATATAAAAAAACAATATTAATTTCAATAATAAATTCGAAAAAAAAGAATAAAATTATCACCATTAAACTTTCCGGATTGATATTTTGTGCTTGTTTCACACGGCATTTCACTTTATCCGCATCATTAACCTGTGGCTCATCAATCAAATACAGTAAATGTTTTCCATTTTCAGCAAAACTTGGCCAAATGATGTCTAACGATGCACCACTAATCGCGCTTGGACCACGATTTATAACCTAAAACTTTTTTTTCCACTAAAGAATTATTTTAAACTTTTGATAATGAAAAAAAGGAAATTTCATAGATTTTTTTCCGTTTGGAGTAAATTATTTGCGTCCAATTTAAAATTAAATGAAAAGTAAAGTGAATTCTGAGTGTACTATCTATCTACCTGATATAAATGACTGATAACAGGACCAATTTCGGAATCAAAAATAGGATCACTTGAAGTTCGATTTCGAATCGAGTAATCTAATTGCTCCGGTGTTGATCGACCAACTAATGAAAGTTGAGCTTTAATCTCGACTGGAACTCGTACAGTCAATTCGTTATCAACATCACGACCAAAAGCTTCATCATTAGTACTAAAAATATCATAGCGCTCTAGTAGCAATCACACGGAAACTTATTAAACAAATTATACTGATCTGAAAATGAATCGGACATTAAGCATTAATGAGAACTCACAAAATTTATCATGAGTCATTTAAATAATTATTGCTTAATTATTTAAAACCAAAGAATATGTCCATCCTTTGCGCTATCATTTACTGTATGTTTTAATATCTTAGTCTATTACGTCATGAAATTTATCAAATCAATAAAATGCTCAATATGTTTATCGAATCAATAAAATGTGTTAAAACGCATTTTCACTATCTCATCAAATTCATTCTTTCGAAATTTTCATTCAATCTTAAAAACTGATTAGAATGTAAGAAAAAAAAGAGAAAAAGAAATCATAAAATAAATGAATATATTATTCATTACCTATTAACAGACATTTTAATTTCCACAGCTTCATTTGTAGCATCAACTTTAGTGCCGGTTAAACGAAATCCAAATTTTGCTTCACTGTTACCTGCTAATGGATTACCAATATCACAGACAAATACATATTCCTCATCCTTTCCAACTTTATGCTGCGGTGAACAGCTAAGAGGTTGCTAAAAAAATAAAATTGATATAAAAA